GTTTTGATTCCAGCGGTTCTCTACGACAAGACCTCAAGGACTTCTTCGAGTTTCCGCATTCTTTATTCCTAATTTTTATTGTTATATCTATTGTCATATTTCTATTGTTAACGAAATCTTTATTGTAAATATTATTTATTTCTTTTTTTTATGTCTTACGTTTTATTCACAAGTTATAATAGAAATTGTAGTAATAATTGTAATAAAGAATAAAAAATTAAAAATAAAAAAAAAAAAAAGATTTCTTAGCGTGGTTGACGTTCACTGGTGTTATGGTAGCTTTGTAAACAATATTTTTAGTTAGATATTGTGGACCGCTGGCGTTTTTAATTACGGCCAACCCATCATCTCTATACAGCCCAAATGGAAAAAGTTAAAAAACATATAACTCAGATATTCAAAAGCAACAGCCTTAATATTTCTATTCAATCCAACATAAAAATAATGAAGTATCTTGATATTACATTAAATCTTAATGACTGCAGCTTCAAACCTTACCATAAATCTAAAAGTTTGTTAAGCTATATCCATGCCAACTCTAACCACCCACCAAGTATTTTAAAACAGCTGCCGACCTCTATTGAATAAAGATTACCAGCAAAATAATTTTCGAAAACTCTTCTTCTATTTACAAAGAAGCCCTTATAAAGTCTGGACATAGCAGCAATATCCAATATCGTCCTAATTTAAATTTACAAAAAACTAACCGTAATACTAATAAACGCAAACGAAACATCATATGGTTTAATCCCCCTTTTAGTAAGAATGTTGTCACCAAATTAGGAAACCTTTTCTTGAACTTAATTGACTTACATTTCCCAGCACACCACAGGCTACACAAGATTTTTAACAGAAACACCGTCAAAATAAGCTACAGCTGCATGCCAAATATTAGTGCTATTATCAAGTCTCACAACCAACACATCTTGCGCAACCAAAATACCGAAAACGTATAGAGAGAGCTACGTGTCCTTTAGAAAATCAATGTCTAACTAAAAATATTGTTTACAAAGCTACCATAACACCAGCGAACGTCAACCACGCTAAGAAATCTTATATTGGTATTAGCGAACCTCCTTCAAGATCAGATTTGCAAACCACATAAAATCATTCAACATGGTCAGATATAAAAATGACACTAAACTTTCTAAAGAGATCTGGTAACTTAAGGAAACAGGCATTAAACCAATAATCAAGTGGAGAATTGTTAAAAAATGTCAAAACTATAACCCATCCTCAAAAAGGTGTAATCTTTGCATAAATGAGAAATATTTTATTTCAACATACAATAAAGAACCTTTGGTAAATAAAAAGTAGCATGTAGGCACAGAAAAAAAGATTTTGCTATCAAATTTTGACACCGGTTATATATATATATATATATATATATATATATATATATATATATATATATATATATATATATATATATATATATATATATATATATATATATATATATTCTATTTTTTCATTTTTTGATTTTATATTTTTTTGTGTTTTTTGATTTTGAGAAAAAAATTTATAGATTCTTTGAACAACTAAAAACAGCAATAAAGACTTCACTAATGATTTAGCTCCGTCTGATATAACTACGTTCAAGCAGTGGCAACCACAGGGTGATAAATGAGGCTTTTGGGTATTACACCTTTTTGAATTGCAAATATATTAGAATGTCTTTCTCCATCATCAATTCACCGTAAATGCTCCATCAAGGTTGGATTAAAAAATTTACCAAGTAATTGGATAAGACCAAGGAAGTTCCCATTTATTTCTGGTATACAGCTTTGATGAGCTTCCACGGAATTCAACATTGTTGGATAAGACCTAGATCATTTTTATCCTGATTGCTGCTTCGACCCATTTCTAGCAACAACTGTAATGAGATGAATATGTTTCTTTTAGGCTAGCTCTGTAAATTTTTTTCAGTTGTTTTTTCTTCTTCTTTCCCAAAATATGATTTTGGAATTGAGTCAAACTGATGACAAGGAAGACAATAAACTAAATCATTTTCTGGAGAGTATGTAGCCATCTCCTCTTACTTGTTCATCATTTCTTGCTACCCTGTATCTAAATTCATTTTAGAAATGACGTTTTTCTCGGGACCAAAGGTATTTGTGTAAGTACACAACCTGAAATATCCATTAATGTCAATGACTGAAAATGTTGGGCGCCTAGGTTTTAAATGGTAAAGATATTTTATAAAGTCATGAAGACGGCTATAAAAAAATATTTACCGCGGCGCCCAACAGGTCGCGGTCGTTGTCCTTCCCTAGGGACGGCCCTGGCTCTAGGTAACAACTTTTTGGTATAATTGGAGTTGAAATTTTTAGAAAACCCTGGCCTTCACCAGTCACTACCTAAAGTAAACAGTTTTTCTTTTGAGAAATTATATTACAAATTACAATGTAATGTATATATATGAAACATGTAATAACACAGTGTAATAACACAGTGTAATAACACAGTGTAATAACACAGTGTAATAACACAGTGTAATAACACAGTGTAATAACACAGTGTAATAACACAGTGTAATAACACAGTGTAATAACACAGTGTAATAACACAGTGTAATAACACAGTGTAATAACACAGTGTAATAACACAGTGTAATAACACAGTGTAATAACACAGTGTAAAAACACAGTGTAATAACACAGTGTAATAACACTGTGTAATAACACAGTGATACTTCATTGTCTACTTTTTCATTAGTCTCTAGAGTTAGTTAATTTTTTCCTTGACATTTAAAGATATTCCAGAGTTTGCGTGAAAGTAATTTAAGATTTCACATAAAAAATTAACTTTTACAGCTATATCAGGTTTTAAAACATCTTGAGGTTTTTGTCTGTCTTTTGAATAAGGTTACAAACAGATGTTTTTTTTTTGTTAAATTTTTGCAGTTGGTTTTTTTACTTGAATCTAGTGATTTTTTGTACTGTTGTTTTCAGTGAGTAAGTGAATTAACTGATCATTTTCTTTTTAAAAAGATCATAAATAAAAATATTTTATTTATGATCTTTTTAATATTTTCTGCCAATTCACTATTGCTTGCAATAGTAGTGTAGAGTTTTTCCAAACTCTTTTACAATTCAAATCAATGATTATTGAAAGTGTCCTAGACCCATCATCGTTACTTATAATGTTAAGAGGCAATTTTACCAATTTTACGCAGAGCAAAACCAATGCTATGGTGATTAAAGTTATAAATGATTTAAAAAAATTACCAGGTTAGTTACTAGGACATTATAACAATTTTAGTAGTAGTTTTTACAGAAAAACATTTTAAATTAAGTTAAATCTTACTTTGTTTAGGATGAGGTTTTTAAAGAAAATGCCGCAAACTACTTCAACACGCAGGTAAACACGCAGGTAACACGCAGGTAAACCTCTTGTACCGGACGTCCTTAGTATAATTAGCTTTTTTGCGGCATTATCATTATTAAAAGCAATGGATAATGTTGTCAAAGTTTGCTTTGGAAACGTTTAAAGGAAAAGGAAAGGTTGCTTTAAAAATGTTCAAAGGGAAAAGAAAGGTTGCTTTGAAAACTTTCATATGAAAAGGAAAGGTTTCTTTGGAAATATTCAAAGGAAAAGGAAAGGTTTCTTTGGAAACGTTTTTTAATCGTCTTTTAAACGTTCTTTACGTAAGAATGTTTAGAAGACGTTTAAAAGACATTTAAAATACATTTAGAATGTAACTTTTAAAAACAAATGCCCGCTGGATCAGTACATGCAAGTTTTAAGGACAATGTTTTAGGGTACAGATTTATCTGAGAATACTCGTAAAAATACATATAGTTCTTAAACACATTGAACATATTATGAACTAGGGCTTGCATTTGAACAAGCTGGAGAGTCAACCCAGTGGTTTTGTTAGTGGTTTTTAAAATTTATTGGTGATGATATCAAACTAATACAACCACCGATGTATCATTTGGGGAGTTTTTGATGAAAGTTGTTATGAATTTTGTTTTTTTATCTTTTTTCTAAACTTCATGCTTTGTTTTCCAATACAATATCTTTATATTTGAAGATATTGTTGGCTTAGCATATGAACAGCAAAAAACAGTTATAAAAAATAATTCGTTGTTACTGAACAATATTTTTGCGTAACAAAGTACTTTTAGGGTAAATTCACGGTGACTGGATTTAAACTCACATTGCACAACAGCCCTGGTTTTAACATTTTGCTTAACGCTTTAACCAACTGAGCCATCGAGCTGAATTTCAACTGGGCAGTTGAGATTGACGAGTGGGAACTTATGACGCAGAAAGTATAAACTATGTATTAGATGACTTTTAATAAAATAACTAAGACATAATGAAAAAGAATACTGAATTTCTAATGAATGTCAAGTGAAAATAAAAGTGAATTAGCAAAAATCGAGCATTGCTTTCGATAAAAAATGTTTAGGAATTCTAGAGACGATCTTAGGTTATAGAGACTTAAACATTATTACATATTATATGTAATATAAATAAGTTATTTATTTAGAAAAAAACTATGCGCAATATTTCCAGGAAAATTTATTTTGTTTTATAGAAAATACTTGTATATTTTATTTTTTTCTTATTGTGTAACAATTTATTTTGTTTTCTAAACTGTTTTTTTTTCTATAAATTCTTGAAAGGATTATTTAAGAAAAAAAAAACGAAAAAAAAAAGAAAAAAAAAAGAAAAAAAGGATAGAAAGATCTAAATAAATATAATAATATACAAAACAAATTTTTTTTAAAAAAGTTGTTTAAAAAAACTTCTTAAAAGTTCTTTAAAAAAATTGATTTTACGCTATTTTTTGTGCATCGCCCTAACTCAACAATTTTAAGCACATTGTTTATTTTAAGGAATTCTTTACTAACTTTGTTTTTAGGTAGGAGTGGCAGTTTAGTAAAAAGGTTTTGCAATGTCAAACATACCTTTTTCAATATTGATAACAATACCCCACCTAAAAAGCTGAGCAAATTATAGACAACTAATATAAAAGCAAGAAACGAACCGTAAGTTCTGTTGTTCTAACAAGAGGCAAAGGAAACAAGAAGCCATATAAAATGAAACTTATTATAGCTACATTTTTAATTAATCTCGTCCAACAGTCTTTCGGACATGGCTATCTACAAAGTCCAGCTGCCAGAAACTCAATGTGGAGATTTGGCTTTAAAACACCGGCAAATTACAACGATAACGAACTATTTTGCGGTGGAGCCACAGTTATGAATATGAACAACGGTGGACGCTGTGGAGTTTGCGGAGATCCTTGGCACGTAAAAGATCAACCACATATGGACGGTGGAAGGTAAGTTACAAGTAAAAGGTAATTTTAAAGATATTAACTTTTATTTATTATTATGTTATTATTATAAATGCTTTCATACTCATTACTTCATTTAACCAGAGAAAAAAAAATTCTTAAGTAACTTTATTTGTAGAGTGTTTTTTTTTGCGTAAATTAATTATTAGGGTTGAGATTAGTTGTCGGTAATGTGTTTTGGTTTTTTTTTAGAAATTTCCTGTTAAAATGTTTGTTTTTTTATATTTATATGTTTTCTTGAGCTATTTTACTTTTAAGTTTATTTTAAATAATAAGTAAATAAGTATTAAATGTTTGCAACTTTTTTAACTTTTTTAAATTTTGTTATCAAGCATTAAAATAATCTTTCCTCCTCCCCTCATCCCCGCCTCCCCTTTTTTAAATTTTGTTATCAAGCATTAAAATAATCATCCCTCCTCCCCCCTCCCCGCCTCCCCTTCCCTAATCCTCCTGCGGATCCGCCATTGAAAAGAACTGAGTTTATACTTTACATAAATGTTTTTTAATTGTCTTTTGCAGTTACTTAATAACACCAAATGAGACATCGTTTTTCTTTTATTATGTATTGTTTATCTAAATGTAAAAATAAAAAGATTAAATAACATCCAATGAATAAAATTTCGGACAAGTTTTAATTGCATTTATTATGTAATTTATTTCATGCACGCAAAAAAACTTTATACTTATTTCAAAGAGGATTTTATAATCTATTTAAATTTAATTTAATTAAGTTAAAAATATTATTTAAATATTAAAAATAAAATGGTCAAAGTAAAGGATCTCGAAAAAATGATGGAAATTTTTTTCCAAAAAACTCGAGGAAAAGGTAAAGCGTTTGTTTCCAAGCAGTTTATGGAATGGGGTTTACCCAAATCAACTGCTTACGATAAAATCGTAAAATTGGAGAATGGATCTCTAAAAAGAAAAGTTGGAAGTGATTGAATCGCTAAGGTAGCTACTAAAGAAAATATTCGAAAGAATGCTGCATTTTTTGAAAATAAGTCAGGGTGCTCCCAAAAGAAAGTAGCTCAAGTTTTTAACTGTAGTCAAACTCGAATTTCCTAAGTATTAAAAACAATGACTAACATTCGAACTTTCAAAAAAACAAATCGTTCAGATTGTAGCCATCAGCAGAAGAAAGCTATGCATCCTAAATGTCGTAAACTGTACAAAAATTATAAAAAATTGGATTTTGTTATTGACGATGAAAGCTATTTTACCTTAAACAATAGTACATTAGCTGGTAATGATAGGTTTTATGCCGCTGATCCTTCTCAATGTTCTGACGAAGCAAGATACAATTTGCGTAAAAAATACGAGGACAAGCTCTTTCTTGTTGCATCAGCCCCCGTGGAAAAAGCCCTCTTTATATTCATCACAGCAAGCAGGCAATCAACCAGTACACTTATAAAGAGATACTATAAAAAACTTTACTTCCTAATATCAGAATATTATAAAAAAGACAATGAGTTTATCTTCTGCCCTGATCTAGCTCGATCACATAACGCAAAGTTGGTCGTCGATTTTTTTAAATTGAAAAAAATCAAAGTTGTACCCAAAGATGTACCCAAAGTTGTACCCAGCTAACGTTCCAAAAGCAAGACCAATTGAAAACTTTTGGGGTGATTTAAAACGGTTAGTGTACTAGAATAATTAGAGAGCTGAGAATTTGGAAGAGCTTGAAGCAAGATTTAGATATTGCTAAATAATAATAAGACAATGTCATTAAATTGCTAAGGTACAAGTTTTACTTTATTTTACAGTTTCAGACTTTTTATTTGTTTAAAATGGTAGCCATAATGATGAAGAATAATAAATATCTAGAAGAAATACTCTAAAGTATCTAAAGAATAGAATAAAATATTATTTATTTTAAATACTTTTTTTAAATACTTGAAAAAAAAATTTTATAAATAAAAAACGCAATAACAAACCATCTGGACGTGATAAATTAAATTAAAATTTGGAGTTCTTCATTATTATGTTATTGGCAGGAATACTGTTTAACGACATGATCATTACTATACTGATATTTTCTAGTGAACTTTTGGGTTGGTTCTTTGGTTTTAAATGATGTGTTTTAAAAAAAATTCTGTTTACGCACTCAAAATTAAAGTTTTAAAAAATATTAAACGATTTTGCAGCTCTTTTACCCACTGTGGTATGGGCTGTGTCATTGAGGCTAAATAGTATTATTTACAATCTGTGTTAAACACAATGCTTAAGCCCTTTCCTCCTCTCCTCCCCCTCCCTCCTCCTTCCCCAAAAATAAAAGCAATTAGATTTTTCTATCTAAATTGTTTATTTAAAGAGTTTAATGGTTTGCATAATAATAATACGGATTTATATATAATATTTTTTATTTGATATCTATAATTTTTTAGAATACATTGTTCTTAGAATATTAATTTTAGGTACGGTAGTCGCATTATCACAAAAACATATACAAAAGGTCAAATTGTTGATCTTGAAATTCTCTTGACAACCAGTCACATGGGGTATTTTGAGATTAGAATAGGAGATTTTTCTTCCACCAGAACTTCAGGAGATTCGATTGGAAAATTAAATGGAGAACTCTTGCAGTTAGTAACAGGAGGTACACAGTTTCGAGTGACAGAACGAGGTAGATTTTTGTACAAGTATCAAGTTCGTCTTCCCTCTGACTTAACATGCGAACGATGTGTTTTACAATGGTGGTATAGAGGAGGTAACAACTGGGGGTGTGAAGGTGGAAAATGTGGAATGGGACTTGGACCTCAAGAACACTTTGTTAATTGTGCAGATGTAAAAATTGTTTAATAATATTATAATAAACTTTTTTAGCTTTACTTTGTTATTTTTTATTATATAAATAACTTGCATAATAAAAAAAAGTTTAAGTGTAAACTTACATAAGTGCAAACTAGTTGCAAAAACCTAAGTGCAATTTGGCATAATAAGTACAGACAAAACTGCAAACTAGATAAACGGTTTTAAAATTTTTATAATAAATGGCTTTATAATAAGGTTTTATTCAATTACAGATATTTATTTTAATAAGTAAAAAATAAATGGGATCGTTTAACAAATCAAAAATTACCCGACAGGCATTTGTTTTTAAAAGTTACGTTCTAATGTATTTTAAATGTCTTTTAAACGTTTTTTTGCGTAAGAATGTTTTGAAGACGTTTAAAAGACATTTAAAATACATTTAGAACGTAACTTTTAAAAACAAATGCCCGTCGGGTAGCATTAGTTCTTATAAATCTGTAAAAACAATTTTTTTTTTTGTAATTTCAAAGAAAAAACCTTTTTATATATTTTTTAATTTTTTTAAACTTTTATAATGTTAAGTTAATAAACCGTGCAGCTGACAAAGCCTCTGAACTCTTCTCTTCTAATTAACTCTTCTTTTCATTGAGCTTATCGTTGAAATTGGAGAGCAAAGAAGCCGAGTTAACAGGCTCAAGTTTGTGATCTTTTTCGAAAGTTGTGATACTATCAAGGTTTTTTTTTGTGAAGGACTTCTTAAAGTGATTAACCTTGTTGTTCTTGGACTCCTGTGCTTTTCTTGAAACTTTCTTGAAAAGAGCCAAAACCGATTGGTTTTGGCTCTTGTTACTTGGTAAGTCCATGAAACTCTTTCTTATCTATTTGCCCGTCTTACTAGCATCACGTTGTTGTTTTTTCTACATCTAATTTTCAATTGTGACCCTTTATACACGCAATTTTCCACCGTGAACCTTTAAACTCGTCATTGTCAACCGTGGCCTTTTAGAAAAACCACCGTGACCAGTTTAGAAAAACTTTTTTAGGTATTGGTCCTTTAAAATTTACATTTATCAATACCAACATGAACAACAAAATTAAAGAGACTCAATTTTGCTGAAGAAATAAACATCATAAACTTGCATAAATAAACGTAAAAAACAATATTTTTTTCACAATAGATTTCATTTACTCTTATATTAAAAAATTTTAACATCGTAAATTTATTCAAATTTATCCCAACCTGTAATATTTATTGTTAATGTTACCTGTTTGCAGCATCAATGTGTGTATTCCTGTATACCTGATCTTCCAACATTTTTTTATCATTCATCACTCTTATTTCACTGCGGGACAATCTGGAAGTTCATGATTTATCTTCAAGTTGAAGAGGATTTCACATCTTATCCTTCACTACTACTGTTTTTACTTTTTATCTGCTTGAATTGGTCTCTGTGCACTTTAACAGAAAAAGAGCTTTCTTCTGCAGCAAGCTTGATATTTTTAATGCCGCCAAAAACAGGTATTTCATTTTTAGCGCACAAGAAACAACTCTTAACAACATATGTTGAATCAAATTTTTAGCGCACAAAAAACAATTCTTAACAACATATGTTGAATCAATTTTTAGCGCACAAGAAACAACTCTTAAAAACATTCGATTCTTTAAAGTAATTAAGTCATAAAGATTTCTTTTTTTACTTTTTTATTTTTTATTTTTTTTTTGTATCAGTAATAAATATTAGGGCCAGTTATTTCACATTTCTGAGCAATTTTAACTTTTTTAAATAAAATTTTGTTACTTCCTTTCAAAAAAGTTTAAATTTTAGAAAGTATGAACTTGTCTTTCCTACATTAAGTAGTTTACAAATGTCATTAGCGTTTTAAGTTTAAGTTTTAACTTTACTAATAGTTTTGTTGATAAACTGAGTCCAGGGTCCACAAACTTTTTTACTACTTAAATTAATGAGTTATTCTTATCCATATGTAGATATTATTTGTCTCTATTGCCATAAAAAAAAGACGTGTTTTTGCAAGAGCTATAATTTATAGAAAATAATGGCAGTATTTTTAATTTTTAGTATTTTATAACTAAAAATTCAATAATTTAATAAAGATTTAAGAAAAAAGTTAATATATATATCGGAAAAGTAAACACAGTTAAGATATAACTTTTCTGTGTTAATAAGATAGTATTAAAGAAAATAAAGAAATTATGGCAGCAGTGGAACTTTCTAATGAAACTAGAAAAAAAATATTGGGGGAAATGTCTCAGTATACAAAAAAGAAACGGAGTTAATGTTTAAAGAACAAGAAAAAAACTTGATAAGCATAATAAGTGCAAATACCAAAATGACTAACGATCGAATGGCTAAAGTTGAAAAGGATACTCACAACAACGCTAAAATAATCAAGTTGCTTGAAAATAAAGTAGCGAGTATCGTAGAAAGTTTAAATTTCCACAAAGAACTTTTTGATAGAAAAAAAAAGACTTTCTCTGATTCTCACAAGAAAGATAATGTTTTAAGCAAAGGAGCAATAAAAACTATAACGATAATATCGAGGTAATGAACAATACAAATAAAGAACCTGTACGTATATTAAACGCTCAGATAGACGAGCTTAACAAAAAGCTAAAGAGTGCACCATTATCCAACAAATTGGAATCATTTGCAACCATACTTAAGGGTAAATCAGCTAAGAAAGTCCAACAAAGTCATCGACTAACCAACATCGTCACGGCTGAAACTGAAAATCGACAAAACCGGGCATCTAATGTCATAATCGTAGGGCTATCAAATCAGATGAATACAACGATATAAAAGCTGCAAACAAGTTTTTCAATGCATGTGGAGTTGACAGTGCCAAAATAGGCTACGTCAGCAGAATAAAATCTAGCAAGATAAACAACACAATCCATAACTCCAACAAAGTCAAGGTTTCTTTAATAAATGAACAATCTCGATCAGAAGTGCTTCAGAAATGTAGTCACCATAATATTGCTGAATTCAAAGAAATTTTCTATCATGAAGATCGAACTCGTTCACAACAGGAGGCATTCAATGAGCTACGAAGAAAAATGAAAAAACTTAACGACGAACGAAATGTAGTTGACAAACCATTTCGGAATGTTATCCACAAGCGTACCGGAGAAATTTGCTGCATGGATGTTCAAAAATCAAATGAACTACATAAATTTGTCTTCGCCTCCCCAGCAAGCACCCTTGCACTGCACCGCAAACATCTTCTCACAACCGTGCAAACTGCAACCACATAATATAAACCCAATCCGACAAACCAAAGCAAAACGTAAACAGCATTCGCCAAATAACTCATTACAAGACCTGCAGTCACAGGCTACTTCGCCACGTTTAAAGTTACCTTCGATAAACTTCTTCCGCTTCCGGGCAAATAACCCATGCTAATTAAACAGCAAAAAACTCCATGAACTTGTAGCAAGACTTCTATTGACAAATCTGAATGGCCACACGTAATATTCTTTTCTGAAACCTGGTTCAGTGCTACGTCAGACACTACAATTGCTGGTTATCAGCTGCATAACACAGACCGTGATGGTAGAGGGGGTGGTGTTGCAATTTACATCATAGATGGTCTCGCTAACAGCATGGTTACCAATGTCACACTCACGTCGACATCCGTGAAACAAATCTGGCACATAATACATTTTGAAAACGAATCAATACTTCTAGGTTGTATCTATCGCCCAACAGATAAAAACGATGACACGCTCACTCAGATTCTTGCCTCTATTAAAGCAGCGCAACAGGTATTGCCAAAATTAAAGTGTTTAACAATACTTTTGTATGGTGATTTTAATTTTAGCCACACCAGTTATAAATCATGCAATGTTGATGGTGGTATAGAAACAACCGCTCATGTAACTGAACAACGTCCCGGTGATATCAAACTCCAAGAATGCCTTAAAGACTGCTATTTAACTCAACTAGTAACATTCCCAACATACCGCATTAACATGCCAGCAACTCCAAGTAGCACGCTTGACCTCGTCATCACCAATAATCCTAATCGCCTAATCTCAATAAACGAAGGAAATTCGCTTGGACATACACCAATGGGAAAAGCTCGCTGTCTTTTAGTCGGTCTTTTTGCTGTATACTTCAACAAGAACAAACTAACATCTCCTCGTCGCCGACGGCTTATCTGGATTAAAGCAAATTTTGATGCAATTTCATTACATATAACTTCTAATGAAATACCAACCAATCTCTCTGTAAACGATCTGTACAGTTGATTTATTGACGTATACAACGGAGCTGTAAAACTGCACATTCCATCAACTATGACTCCAAAAAATTAAGCAAGATCTTTGGGTCACACCAAACGTATTGGAAGCAGTAAAACTAAAACGTACAACTTGGGGCAAAATACGTTGCTGCAGGTAAAGATTCTCATGCAAAATTACCTATTTAACATGAGGCTGCATGCAAACACGTTAAAAAGTGGTCAATGCGGCTGTCCTTCATTACGAACAACAACTAGTAAGCAGTTTTAAGGAATTTCCGAGACGTCTGTACTCACACGTAAAAAATAAGCTTAAAATTTATAATCACATTAGTATGCTTGAAACTAGCGATGGTAACATCACCCAAAGACTCTAAGTTTATAAGTTCAACGATAAACAATTATTTTCATTCAGATTTTGTCGAAGAACCCCCAACACCTTTACCAATATTTGAAGAAAGAACAAAATTAACTTGCAAAATCGACGAAAGTTTGTTTACAGCTGCTACAGTACAAAACTACTTATTCTGCCTTGACGACACTAAATCGATGGGACTTGACGCAGTACATCCTCGTGTTTTAAAAAACTGCGCAAAAGCTTTTGCAATACCTTTTTCACTCATTTTCAAGCAATCCTTTTAAACTAGAAATGTCCCAGATCTTTGGCGTAAATCAAATGTTACTCCTATCTTCATAAAAAGAAACAAACTCAAGGCTTGTAATTATAGGCCGGTATCTCTTACCTCTGTACCGTGCAAGGTTATTGGAGAGAATTATAAAAGAGAGGATTATAAAACACTGTACACTACACAATCTA